CCTGCGCAGAGCGCTAGCGCGCAGCTACTTTCCTAGAGCACGAGCGCGAATGCCGCAAAAATGCTTTCAGGCCACCTGTCTTCTAGGTTGACAACAAGAGGCAAAGACGGTGCCGGATCTGGTTCGAATTTTGTCAAGGGCATGAAAGGAACAAACTTCCGAGTTTTGAACATGTTGTTGTTGGCGGCCAGCAGCTTGTTCCTGCTCCTCAAATCCAAGGCGAAGATGCCGGACATGATTTACAACTGTGGCTTTGTTTTTTCAGACTTTGCGGCCGCAGCAGCCGAATCAGGGTCGACTGTTGACGAGGGGCCTAGACAAAAAAATCATTCAGAGTTAGTTCATGTGAAAGCTTTCCTCAGTTTTCAAGAAAGACAGCAGCCAATTGCGTTGGCTGTCAACAATGAACCGCGGGCTTCAAACAAAAAATAGTTCTTTTCCAAAGGAGGTGTTGGCATGCTTGCTGCAGGAAGAATGTTCTTTGAATGTAATTTTCTTTCAGATGGGGAGTTCGCGCCCGCTGCGTCACACGGAAGAAACTTCCAGCCAGTTGATATTCTTCCTGGAAACCAACACATTTCGTCCTGAATGAATATCAAGTTCTCTGCACCCCCGAAACCACAAAGTTTCGAAGACGCCCTGAGGTGTCTGATTTCAAGGTCCATTGGTTCTCCTCAATCGGTGGGTTACCAAGAGGCAAGTTGAGACAGTCATTCTGGGACGGCCCAATCGGGCAGCTGCGCCGTCAGGTGGTGGGGGACTTCGGTTCAACCGTGGAGAGCGCGGCAGCGGCGGTTACCTCTTTAAAGGCGGAGATCGATAGCAAGGCCTTCGCCTTCACCTCCAAGCTGGCGTCCATCGAGACCGTGGTAAACGCCGAAACTTGCCTTCGGAACCTTGCGCGTCACCTCGAAGTTTGGGTGGGGTGTCAAGTCCACCAGCCAGAGCGTGTTCTCCATTGACACCAACGGCCTGATTAATAAGTTGGCGTGTTTGCCATTTCTGTTCCTTGCCACTCAAGGCCACAACAATTTGTAAACTTTTCGGAACTGCTTACGCATGGATGTGTGTCAGTTGAAGGCTCCTGGTGCTCTCTGCAGGGCACTGTCATATATGAGGGAACCACTCAAACTGTGCGTGGGCGTACTCTCACTTTATGCAAAACTTTGGTCACTGTGAGGGCATCGCTCTCTCTCCCTCACAAGCCTCCCTGCGAATGCATCCGCCGCGACTCTCGCCGCGCGCGCGCACGTCGCCGTGCTCTTTTAAATTGTCTACCCCGTGGCCGCCACCCCCCCCACCCAAGGCAAGCGAGCGTCTTCGCTTTTGGCTTTTAGGTCGAAGAACTTGGTTGAAGAGCGCGCGAATCTTGTGCGGCTTGCCTGAACTTGAGGGACTGCTGCGCCCAGGGCCTGCCAACGCGTAGTCGGCTTGCAATGTGCCTAACGCTGATCGGTTGTTCTCTTATGAAGCACAGCCGCAGACGCGCCCGCAAGAGCAAGCGCAGCAAACCTGTCGGTTCCCCTTTTGGCAGGGAAATTGCATTCGCAGTTGATTATCATGCAGCAACTCGCATTGTAGAGTATTAGGGGTTGGGCATTTTCCGGGTTGGCGCTTCTGAACCAAGACTGAAACAACTCACAGTGTCAGAGCGGCTGTACTCCCTGTTGGAAACTTGTCGGCCAGACTGTCTTCACAAAGGCAAGGTGCAGAAGTATTGTAGAAATTGGAAGACAAATAGCGATTAGGCAAGGTGGAGTTGGAAGACAGGGTCACATTTTGAGAGGGCTTGTTTGTTTTTCGTGCGCGACAGATAGTAGTAAGTGCCCAACTTGTTTTTATAGGGAAGGCGAATCAGTTTGGAGAAGCATTATTCCCCAAAGGGCTCCAGCTGCTGGGGTTGGGTTTCCTCATAAGAAAGGGCCGCGTGCTTCCAGATCGTCTTCTGCATGCTCGCCAGTGTGCGCGTTACTTGTCTCCCAGTCTGTGGCTCCATTTCTTTGTCAGTGCTCCCAGATTCCGGGCCTGTGCCTCTGCTTGTCTGCCTGTGCTCCCAGATTGCTTGGCGCGTGCTCGCCAGCGTACGCAGTTGCTTCTGTACTGTCCTTGCGCGAAAAAAGGTTCAGGCGCACAAGCGTGTTCATTTTTGGCGCGCAAGCGTGGTCACTGTCGGCGTCGACGCGCAAAAGTGTTTAATAGTGTTCATTGTTGGCGCAGAAGAGCGCTGACCGTGAACACGCCTATGCGCCAACAATGAACACATTTAGTGCCGCGCTTGTGCGCCAACAACGCGCGTTTTGTGCGCCAGCATTGAGCACGCATATGCGCCAACAACAAGCGCATGTGCGCGCCAACCGTGAACGCGCTTAGGCACCAACAATGAGGGCTTTTGCGCACCGACAGTGAACGTTTGCGCCGACGCTGAACATATTTGACTGCCAGCAGTAAACACGCCTATGCGCCAACGATGAACACTTCTTTGAGCACGGTCTTGCGTCAACAACGCAAATTTTGTGCGCCAGCAGTGGACACGCATATTTTGCGCCAACAATCAACACACACACACACAAGCGGGTTAACTGTCGGCCCACAAAAGTGTTGATTCTTGGCGCATGAGCGTGTTAACGGTCGGTGGGCAAAAGTGTTCATTGTCGGCGCATAAGCGTGTTAACGGTCGGCGCACCCAAATGGTCATTGTTGGTGCAAAAGCGTGGTCACTGTCGGCGTCGGCGCGCAAAAGTGTTCATTGTCGGCGCGTAAGCGTGTTTACTGTTGGCGCGCAGAACTATTCAGTGTCGGCGCAGAAACTTGTTCACTAGCGGCACTGTCGGCGCACAAAAGTGTTGATTGTTGGCGCTTATGTGTGATCACTGTCGTTGCTGAAAGCGTTCAGTGTCGGTCGCGCGCAAAAACGGTCATTGTTGAAGCATAAGCATGTGAACTGTCGGCGCGCAAGAGTTTGTATTATTGGCGCGTTGGTGCGTTCCTTCTGGGCGCAGCATGGTGTTTTTGGGATGTGGTTTCCGTTTGGAGCTGGTCAGGGCGTTGCAAACTTCTTTTCCGTTTCCAGTGTGATTGTTGTCGGCTTGACTTGCGTGGTGTTGACAGGTTTGCTTACCAATCTGTTTGTGGCCTGCAATGGTAAAATTGTACTTGGTACCCTTTTATTAGTTGGACACCTGTGTTTGCCGTTTCTGTGCTGGCATTTCTCTCTTCTTCATGTTTCGTCCTGTTCCTTTGCTGCTTTGAGCCTGTTCATTCCGAAGTTCAGGGCAACGTGCTCGTTCCTGCTGAATAAGTTAAATCTTGACCTAGTCCTAGCTTCAGATTGGTCAGAATTGCAAATGGCGCGGCCAAGGAGATGATGGCCAACCAGAGCTTGAGTGACGCGCAGGCGGCGGCGGAGAAACTGTTCAGCACGTGCCAATGTACGACGCATGCCAACTTCAACAATGTCAAGGAGGGGGTGTCTCAAATTCCCCAAAATGGTTGATTTCCCTTTGGTTTTCCTGTATCACCAGCCAACAAGGGCCCCCTCCCCCCTCCAAAGAAAAAGAGACGTATCCAGGACACGGTGAACACAAGCCGGCTCGTTGTGGAAGACAACATCGAGCTTCTGAAGTACTTGAACTGCACTCTGGGATTGGGGCAGCGCTCCGACAGCTGCGTGCTGCAGAGTGCCCACCAGAGCAGCATCAACTTCCACACCGGCGTCGTCGTCCTGACCGCCGACACCATCTGCGAAGACAGCTCCAATTCCGGCTCCGGCTTTGGCTCCTCAAGCGGTCCACCGCTGCTTCAGATTGATGCATGGACCAACTTTGCGAGCGCCTGCAGCTGCACGCAACGTCAGAACGACGCCTGCAACTACAAGTGCAATGGGCTGCAGGAGAAAGGCGGCCAGACTTGCTTCACCTTCACCAATCTTGGCACCATGACCTGGAAGGAGTGCGTGAAGAAGGCATCTGCCTTGGGAGCTTCGCTTTGCTCCGAGGACTACACCGAGGGCGATGGCTGGGGAGGTCATCGCAATGGCGACACTGCCGAGAGATTCGAGAGGTTTTATTCGCCCAAATTCGACCTCATCACTTCTCAACACTTCTGTGTCGTGGGCAAGCACAACCGTGTGACCAGCTTTGACCGGACACTTTGCTCGCAAAAGGCCGAATATGACGGGGACACCTGGTGGTACCATGATGCTGGCGTCAAGTACTATGACGAGTGTGTGTACCTGGCAAGCAGTGCTGGTGCGACCATCATCGACCCGGTCACCATTGGCATGGGAGATTCAATAGATTATTGGACCTTTACCAAGCATTCAGGAAACGTGTACACCTATTACACGGGGATTGACACAATTGCCCATCACAATGTGGGCTGCCAAAGTCGCGGTGACGCGCACAAGTGCATGTTTGGCTTCATGGAAGTTTAAACGGTTTGGAATCTCACAATTTCAAGGTGTAGCTACTAGGTATGACTACGACTTCACCAGTTGCTGAAGTGAGCAGCAGCATGGTGTTTGCATGCCTTAAGGCTGCTGGCTGTGCGTTTAGAGAAATTCATCGGTATGAATTCACCAGTTGCCTGAACAGAAACGGCGGCGATCGCCGCGCTGGCTGTGCACTGCTCATCATCTTTCATTGTGGGCCATTTGTTCTGACCCAACACGTTCATTCCATGCTGGTCCCAAGGCAATCCCGAGCCAGACGGAACTTGGTCCACAATGACGTGGGTACCTTTGGAATCCTTTGGACCTGCCAGCGCGAGAGGAAAAAGTGCCAGTGCTGCGCGCCGTGCTCCCAGTGAAGGTATGTGGGGCTGGATTGAGCTGTTTGGAGTGGTCGAGGGCGGTCCACGCGTCTCACACCGCTGATTTCAAGTGAATTGCTGTGGGGGTCCCTCAAAATTCTTTTTGTTGGACCTCCCAAAGTGGCGATCGTTTCAATGGCACCCTGCAACTTTTAATTCAGACCTCAATTGAGCCGCCCTGAGTGATTGAGGCAAGAAGCTCTATGAGCAGCAAAGAGATCAGCTCGAGCTTGGCTTAGCCCCGGTGCATCGTGCTGGGTCCCTTTTTCCAGAGACGCGTTCTCCAAATTAGATTACTTTGGGGCGGGAATCCGGGAAACCCGTATAGAACATTTGAGGCCGCTTGATCGGCAGAGGTCATGTGAAAGCGACACCACTTTCGCGCGTGCACGTGCATGAGTGCAAGATAAGGCGGGTGCGTCTTAAATTTTGGGACCTTTGGGTTCCAAAGCCGAGAAGAAACGGTGCTCCAAGGTGGACACGCAGTTCAACGTGGAAAACCTGGCCTTCCAGCAGGAACAGGCGATTGCGGTCAAGTACACGAGCGTTCGGTGGCTAAATGGGTGTTACTCACAGAGAACCCATCCCAAAATGGTTTTTCCCCTTAAAACCGTCCACTGGGTCTGGCCTTTGGGAACCCCCCCCCCCCCCCAAATCTTCTTTGTCTCCCGGCTAGCCATCCAGTCTGACTGCCACGTGCAGAAAGAGCATGCACCCCAATGCCAAAGGCAGCAACGTCCACCTCAGAGCCTCGAAAAATGGAAACCTGTTGTGTAGTTGGTTGTTTTTCTTTTGGCCCCTTTCTTGAACAATTGGCTGTTTCACTCCCTTGAAACGCAAAATAGGAACTACCCTCAAAAAGGACACGGCTCAGTCCCTTCGAAGGTGAAGATGCCGCGAAGAAACGGGGCACGCTCCCATCCCAAATGGCTGCGGGTCAAAACCAACCATTTTTGGGTAGGTGCACCGCCCATTTCAGAACCTATTTGAGTGGTTGGATCGAGATGTTCCCCTCCGGCTCGCTCCATGTCGGCTCGAGGCCACGATCACGGCCTCCACCGTGGAGGCCATGAAGAAGGCGCGTCACGCGTTGCGCGCGGAAGGGGCCATGTTCGGCGTAAAAAGGGCGACACTTGGGATGTTTGGACCACCCCCTCAAATGTTTTTTTTTGTTTGTGTGTGTGTTTTTGGTTTTCTTTCGAAGTTTGCCCTTCAAACCAAGCCCAAGAAGGGTAATTATATACCCCCCTCCCCCCCTCCCGAAAAAAGCAAACACAGGCGAGCTCAAATGGGTGGTTCTTTCGAAACTTCTGGTTTTGTCTATGCAGTCCTTTTGTGAGGGACGAGAGGGGAGCCGAATTCCCACAGAGACCTTGAAAACAAGGACTGAATTCTCATGTCCTCGTGGGGGAGTGGCTCAAATGAGTCGGTCTCCGATTCGGGGATTGGATACGCAGTAAAACCAGCAGGACACCGTTGCCACCGATTTTGAACCCAAGTTTGTCGATCTGAACTGGGGGAATTGGTTCCATGCTGGGGATGGGTCATTGGTGCAACCTTCCGCTTTGAACTGAACGGGTCCAAGTTCAACTTGCGCTTCCCTGCAAGGGGGTCCCTCTTTCATGCCCGTTGCAGAAATCAAATCAAGAATAGAGCAGTATTGGCAAGAACTCGACTTCAGAGTCTGAATGCGATAGCGCTGCGCAAGAGATCTATGCAAACTGCACCATGCTTGAAGTTAGAACTCCTCTATCTTTTAGTCGTTTGGGGATCTACGACTCCCGTCCCATTTGGGCATGAATTGCCCTTGGGGTTTCAATGGGAAGCCAAAGAAACGACCCTGGACCCGATTTGTGAAAAGGGGTTCGAGGAAGGCATGGGTCCAGACGGGGGCCTTTTTGAGACGGTGTGAGACGGAGTTTGGGTGTGGGTCAAAATGAAACCACCGGGAGGACTGCACATGTTGAGTCCTTGTTTCCATTTGTGGTTCCATTTTGGGGTTGCCCTATTTTGGCCCCGCGCCTATTTTGCGCACCGAGAACTCCTGCTCAGCCGTGGCTCCTTCAGGCCACGGATCAGCTCAAGAAGCAGACGCAGAACATTGGGGTCAACGAGGCCCTTTCGGGGCTTGGGGGGGCCGCTCTGGGTGTAGATTTCTTGGGAGTTGGTTCTTGTTGCAAAAAGAGGGTTCCTCTTTTTGGAGACTGCACCATGTAGCGATTTGCAATTTGAACGCGAGAAGGGCCAGTGGAATTCAGCTGCACGGTCCAAACTTCACAAAGACTTGCCTGCGGGGTCATGTGCTGGGATGGCGACAACAGAAATGCAAACGACAAGGATGTGTCAAAAGGCCTTGGGTTGGTGGTTTTAGGAGAACCAGGGGTTGGACCATAAGGATGCTCAGAGCTACAACATGGCCATTCTAGGGAGGTTTGAGCCTGGCAGTCATGCATTACGCGAGCGAACTTGACGTGGGCATGATTTATCGGCGTGCTGTAGATTCCAGCACATGCTGCTAGCTGGGTACTTCATGTCCCGACGAACGCCGCCACGTTTTGCTTCAAATGGCCGTCGTCGTCGTCAGCACATGTCGTCCCCCAAAGGATCCCTCCTTGAAATTCGACATGTCCTTGAGGTCGACAAGCTGACGGACGAGATGCAGGATATCTCCGCGGAGATGAAGGACGGCGCTCGGAGACGCGTTTTTGGCTCTGAGTGCTCGGGGGCACCACAGGGCAAGTCTGCTTCTCCATTTGCCGGGGTTTTCATTTCGGAGCAATGCTTGCCTTTTGGCGTCCCCGAAAACCAAGCAGCAGAAAGGGGTTCCTCATGTTTGGTGGCCGTGTTGGACATTCAAGTCATACTTCCCTAAATCACAGGAGGCTTTAAACCGACTTCATTTTGTGTGAGTATTAGTACAGGAGTCTGTCTGCCAGTAGGGCCCCTCACAGAGGGTTGGTTCGGAGTTGGTTTGACACCACATTTGGAGGACCCCCCCAACAAACACACACCCTCGGGGAAGACAAACATCAACCTAAGCCGGAGATGTGTTTGGCGGGCAGTGGGTGTGTGTGTGTGTGCCGAGTGTGTGTGTGTGTGTGTGTGTGTGTGTGTGTGTGGTGGTAACTGGTAGGAGCAGGTTTATGATGGCTTCCCTTCAACCACCCTCTTGAGGTGGTGCCCGAAAAGGGAAAGGCTGAATTCAGACACATCTTGTTTCCCTTCAAACACTCACCCACCCACCTGCCTTTTTTTTGTGGGGGGGGGGGGTTAAGGGGAGGTCGGGAGGTGCTTAGGTGTTCAACCTGCTTCGCAAGTGGGTCATACGTTATAACTTGTAGCCATTGTTATAAGTCAGCAAACATCATTTACCCCAGAGATGCCCGTGCTTGTCACCTCAAAAGTACCAACATTGTTCTTAAAGGGATTTCCTGCCCCCAAATGCAACCCCTTAAACATCAATCTTCCTGGCCCCCGGCCATGATGGAACACTTTTCTCATTTGGTTGAATTGGTTTTGCCAAGCAATGGTCATCAGACCTGCTTCGATGGCCTGGGAGGAATGGCTAAGTGGTCAGTAACCCTAGCTGTAACTCATTTGCTATGGTTGTAAGTCGAGAAAACCAGCGCAGAGCTAACCATGTAGCGATTCGTCCCCAATCTAGGCAGCTCCCCCAACCCGCCCCAACCCGCCCCAACCCGCCTCCCAACTCCCCACCCCCCAACTCCCCACCCCCCAACCCCCAACCCCCCACCAACCCCCCACCAACTTCCCACCAACTTCCCACCAACCCCCCAACCCAACCCCCCCCCCCCCGCCACCGAACAAGGCAGGCCGGACCTGAGACGCGCCAGGACATCCAGGCGGCGCTGGCGGCTCCCTCTGCCACTGGCACCGCCGCCGAGGAGGAGGCCGAGGCGGAGCTGCGGGCCCGGGACCCGGAGAACCAAGCGAGGGTTGGTGGCTCAAGGGGGAGGCAGCACCATGGGTTTCAGTACGGCACCTTTTTTTGTCTTTATGTTCCCTCTGCTTCTTCTTCTTCTTCTTCTTCTTCTTGTTCTTCTTCTTCTTCTTCTTCTTCTTCTTTTTCGGCATTTTTTCCCCCTTTTTTTCCCCGGCATCTTTTTTTGGGTTTTCTCGTGGGAAAAGGGTTGCCTTTTCAAATCCAACAACACAAGTAGGGCTGCCGAATCTTTGTTTCCCATGGTCACTGGGCTGTGCCCCCTCTCGTTTTTTTTTTTTTTTTTTTTTTTTCTTTCTTCTTCTTTTTTTCTTCTTCTTTTTTTCTTCTTCTCTTTTATTTTTGTTCTTCTTTTTCTGTGGACGAGCCATCACTTGGCAAGTGAGGGGATAGAGGCTGTACTTGCACGGTTCAATGAATCATCGCAGAGCCCTTGTTTTTGGGATGATTTTCCGGGGGCAGTGAGTCATAAGGGTTGAGCACGTAAAGTAAGACAATGAATCAAGCCTTGCAGCTGTATTTGGTGGGTGCGGTTGGGGAGCTTGGGTAGACAGGGCACGCTTTGTTGGGACCCGTCTGGGTTGACATTTTCCCCCAACACCCCGCAAAGACAACAAAAGCCAGGGGGATGTCAAGTTAAGGCCGCCCAGTTTAAGCAAATGGGAAGCATTCGCATGAGGCTATGTACGAGATGCAGACGCAGAAGGAGGCAGAGGAGGCCAGCGGTCGAGTCATCGAGTCGAGTGGGGCGCTGCAGGCCTTGCCACTTGAGGCCATCGGGGGCCTGTCCGGGTGTTTTTTGACTTTGCTCGCAGAGCCGATCTTCGGCCCCCGATCTTTGGTTCTGTTTCGAGGCCGCCGCGATCCTGGCGGGCGGCTCCGTCACCGTGACGCCGGCGGCGCCCGCTGTGCCCGCAGCCAAAGCCGCGGGCTACGCGAAGGCGGCCAGCCCCGTGGGCGCGTGAGCTCGCCTCTCCAGCCGCGCGATCTCAGCGAGCCGCGGACTTGTGGGGGGGTCTCAGAGCCAGATGCCCGGGCTTCCGACGTATGATGGAATCCATTTGTGAATGTTGGTTCAGCAACATGGTTGAAGGTAGAAATCCGTATTTTGTTTGATGTGCACCACAGGGTCCATTGAACAAATGCTTTGCTCCACCAAAGAAAGGCTGAGTTTTCACTTCTATTCCTCGAGGGAGGTTTGGTAATAAAAATCAGTCTATGGTCCATTTGGGGTTCCATTCCTTTAGTTCAGCCAGCTTTGGAGTTGTTCTATTGCTCCCATCTCCAGCTGAGCCACAATCAAAACTGAACGGGCAGATGAAGGTTCGAATTGGGGACAGGCCCAGCCAGAAGTAGGTGCGGACATTTGCCTCATTGATTCGTTGCCATGGGTTTTGGGTAGAACTCCCCGCCACACTGATCGGGCTGGGAACTCTACGTTGAGGGGTTCCTTCACCCTGCTTCCACAAAGGAACCCCACAGCTTTCGCTTCCAAACCAAAAATGCGGCGTTGCTTTCTGCTTTCTGACTTGGACTGTGCAGCAGATGCTTGGCCGAGGTTCAGATCCCTGTGGCGGTGCTTCATTCTGACCTTTTGGATTTGTGCTGCAAAAAGTGTCATGCTTGATGACTCTTTGCGTTTTCACCCAGGACCGCCATTCGAGCCTCTTTGCTGGATATTGTCACCCTTTTTCCGGCTAAGAGTGGCAGACGCCCTGGACTTATCGCGGTCTCCTGAACAGCGCCTGAACGGAGACAGACGAAAAGTGCGGCATGCTTGCGAGGCAACCAATTTGGCCACATGGGGGTGTCTGGGACCTCCAAAGTTGTGGTTTGTTGTCTAGCTTCCTTTGACCCACCCCACCAAGAAAAATGGTACCCCCCCCAAAAAAAAAACAGATAAGCCCACATGTGCACATGTGCTTGGGCAATTCAATGCAGGAAAACGTCTGACGTGAGCTGGCGGAAGACATCGGACCGTTGGATTGTTTCGCGTAGCGTCCGGTGCCAGAGGGCCCAGGTTGCAGTAGCCGAGCGTGGTAGGGATGCCCTATGCCACAAGAGCTGAGGCATGCGTCAGCAGGCAAGCATGGTGGAGACACGAATTCGTTGGACGAGCTCCGGAAGAGCGAGCAAAGTGCTGGAAGCATGCGGCAACAGTACGGCCGTGGCAATGAACAAGCACGGGCTTATTTGTGCGAGTGTTCTGCGAGCTCGATCAAAAGCTGCTGATTTGGCGTGCGGATTTTTCCGCCTCCGAAATACCAAGCCATTGGATATCTTTGGCAACATTCCATCCACTGGAGCAGATATCCCAGAACGGCACAACCCAGGGCCTGCCCCTGGGGACTCAACTCTCCCCGAATTGGTTTCAGTGGGAGATCAAATCTGAACCTGTGATAGGCGTCCTTTTTAGCCAGCAAAGGATTCCGCGTGCGTTCTGGGGGTCGATTCTCATTGCCTTTGTGGCTTCGCTGGCGTAACCTCGAGGGCCAGCCTTCAAAAGCTTGTGGGCTTTACGTTTTCCAGAATGCGCAGCTAGGAAAGGGGGAAACCTCTGCGGACTTTCGCGATTTGGCAAACTTAGTGTTTTTCTGTGGTTGTCAATTGCTGGAGCAATTTGCTGGCAAACTGGCGAACTTGCTAACTAGCTAACTAGCCAGCCAATCAATGAAGCAGGCAGCAAGCAACCCCAATTAGCTAATTCACTAGCCAGCTTACTCTTGAACTACCTACCCAGCAGACGCAATAGCCGCGCCCAGCCAATTAGCTTGCTGTCTAGCTATTTAGCTAACTGGGCTAACTACCTAGCTATATAGCTCGCGAGCTAACTGGGAAACTAGCTGCTAATGGTCTGACCATCTAGCCAGCAAACTAGCAAACAGCTGGCCAACTTCCGGGAAAGTAGCCAACCAGTGCGCAAGCTAGCCATCTAACTAGCTAAGCCAAGAGGCTAACTAGCAAACTCTCGAACAAGTGAACTCTCAACCACTGGCAAATTAGCTGGCTGACTGTTACTAGCCAAGCTAACTTGACTTCACTCATGCACACACTTGAAGAGAAGGTGCAGAAAGAGACACACTGAAGAGCACGTCCCGAACTTTGCTTTTCTGCGTTTGAGACTTGGCGCCGGCAAATGGCACAGGTTTCAGTCGGGTTCTAGCAAGTTACCAGTGTCTTCAGTTATTCAAAAGCGGCACCTAGGTTGCGACATTTTTTTGGGGCCCCTTTGACCTCTAGGGAACCCTGCGCAGTGCATGCCAAGGGCCCCGGCCGCGCAGTCGAGGCCAGGGCGCTATACGCAGGAGCTCATCGCCCGCGTGCAGGAGGCGAGACATTTGTGGGGATGTTTGGGCGCAAAATGGGTTTGTCTCAAAATGGGGTAGGTTTCCTTTTGGTCTCCCTCGAAAATGACCCAACGAAGGGTCCCCTGCCAAGAACAAGACACACTCAAATGCGGTTCAACAATCAGCTTTCGGTTTCCCTTGTCACAAGGAAAGCCAAAAGGAGTTGCTCAAAGAATACGCGTTCAAACATGTCTGAACAATAGCCTGTCTAAACATGTTCAAACACGGAGAGGCATTAGCGGCCGTAGTGGCCTCAGTCAAACATGGTGTGTCAATGTCTTTGCGGCTCAACAAGTCTAAAGGAAAGCCGCATGGTTGTGCAGAACCAGTCTGGACGGGTTTTTCACTTTGTCCCGAGTTTTGGGAACTCCAAAAAGCAACGCAAGAAGGTGTCCTTTTAGAGGGTCCTGGTTCACCAGGTCCAATCATCCAGCATCTATTTTCCAAACAGGCCGCCCACTGTGGATGGACGAAATCCGTTCGTACCACCTAAGAAGCCATGGTTTTTCAATCCTGGCGATTGTTGGTTTTTGCGTTGGGGAATGGAATGCGAAGCCAGGGCTTCTGATTCTGGTGGTGCGTTTGATGGATGGATTTCGGTTCGGCCAACCACAGTAGATGTCACTTTGAAATTGGGCAAGCTCCACTGGTTTAGGGCCTTACATCAGGGAACCTCATGCAAACCAGATGAGTTCCACTGGTTTAGGGTCTTGCAAACATGTCGGGGGCATCCATCTGAGGGTTTTTGTACTGCAATTTGGGATTCCGCCCTTGGGAAATGACCCAGAATGGTCCAAAGTTTTTCCGGTCTTCTTCGGAAGTACCCAGCATTCAACCTAAAAAAACCCTAGGAGTCCCCAGTGGGTACTCAGCATTTTTGTTGGGGGGATCACTACCCCGTGGGATTCCGCGCCACGCTTCAGGCCGGGCTGGAGGTCCAGGAGGCGCGCACCGGCGAGGCGGTGGCCGCGCTGGCGCGGCGCCAGGCGGGAGGCCGGTTTCGGACGTGCCGAAGTTGGGGCGCGGCCCCAGATCTAGCCCCTGAAAAAGGCAGGATGGAATGAGGATCTTTTATCTTCTTCCCATTTGGCTGCGAATTTCAACTGTTCCCCTCCAGGTTCGCTTGATATATCTGTCCCAGCCACTTTCTTGGTCCATGGCGATCGTCGAGAGTCATCAGAGTTGAGGGTTTCCTATCAAGCATGTGGACATGCCTTTTGAAACATGTTCGTTCGATTCGAGTTGGAGAGTTTGATTCTTTGCAGTTTCGGGAGGAAAGGATGCTTCCAGACCAGCAGGTCTGGCAATGGGCACTGGATTAGCTGCGATTTTGTGTTTGGAAGTTCCAAAAAGAATCAAATTGAGCTACTCAGCCTGGGGCGGCCGAGATTGAACACTTTTGAGATTAGAATGCCATGCCACTTTGCAGATCTCGAAGTGTGACGCCTTAGCAACGCTATTTTGAAGGCTGAGGCGCAATCTGATGCCACCACGGATTACCCGCTGTTCACAGTGCCATTGGAAGACACCCTGCAGATGACCTCAGTTGACTCTCATGAGAAGCTCAAAACTAAGGGCCATGTATTGCGGCGTTGATCCTCTTTATGTCCGCCTTGCAATGGCCCACTCATTCACCGCGGAGGCCGATGTGGGTCTCATCATTTCGTGCGGCAGCCGCGCCCCAAGGGACGCACCTGGCTGTTCTCGAGAGGATTTTGGTTCCCCCATTGATTTTGCTTTAAGATGCCCAAAACGGGTACCCTCCAAAATCTTGAGGGCCACATGAACCCTCCCAAACTGGAGGTTTCCCCGATTCTGATCATTTGTGGGGTGATCCCTCTGGCAAGGTGGAATTCCCGAATGGCAAGGAAAGACACAAGAACAAAAATGCCCAGAGTGAATGGTATGTACAACGCAGCAGATGTGTAATTTGCACATGAATCTCTTCAAGTTCTTTGGCGCAGAGATCGCGTTCAGGCCCTGTCGTCCTCACGGAGCCCGTGGACTTGCGTGCCCATGTCTGCAAGACGTGCTGTCCTCAAAATTCTTCCGTATGTTTGTCTTACCATACCGACGGCCGAACTTTGGGACTCAAGCAAGATTGCTACTGCTCTTGCGAGGACGGCCGCGATGCTGCTGTTCCCCAAAGCGCCTGAGCCTCAGTGCCTGGCCGGGCTGATCAAAAGGTCCCTCAAACATGGGATGTCCATTAGCACTAGGAATATAGATGATGTTTCACCCCACATGGGA